AAAAAAAAAAAAAAAAAAAAAAAAAAAAAGAAACAAAAGGAGAGAAGCACAGTGGAGATGCAAACCTCAACTGTAACATCAACAACAACAACGACAACAACAAATTCCAACTTTAAGAGGGAATTTTAACAGAACAACAACAGAAAAAAGAAAGTAGAAAGCAGAAATTGGAAACATACAATTGTCTAAACCAGCTGGACAGAAAAAACCTGCTGGCTGGTTCGAATATTCATCTGTTCCTCATTTGCTATACCTGAGATAATATAAAAAGATAGGACAATGAAAGGGTAAAAACGAAATGGAAAATCAAAGAAAGAAGCTGTAAAATGAAAAAAAAAAAAAAAAAAGAGTTACGACAGAGAGGGAAAATAAAACTTGAACCTATAAATATCTTCAAAAATGTATTCAACAATTCGACCAGTATAATGACTTAAGTTGAAATATAATCAAGAGAAAAAATTTTAACTAATTCATCATGTTCTTTTTTTTTTCTTCTTCACTTACAAACAACTAACAATTACAGAACTAAAACTTTTTCACCAACTGACTGGTAGCAAGTTCAAATATGGTCTTGAAAAATCGTGAAACAAGGTCGTGAAAAACAGAACAAAACAGAACAAGAAAAAAGTGATAAAAATAATAATAATAAAAACAACGCCCATTGAAAAAAATATATATAGGGGAAAAATCATTATTTGAACTGACACTTTTTTTACCAGAACCTTTCAAAAAAAAAAACCAAAACTGTAAGTAACAAGGAAAAAAAAACAGACTTAAATCACCAAAATATGATCTACCGGTGGTACATTCAAAAACCACTTACCTAAGGTCATTTTTGAATTTCAAAAAAGGAACAAAAAATTGACCGTTAGACAAAAAAACAATTTCTTTCAAAGGAAACAAAAAAGCAACATAAAAATTATTTTACTGTTCAGTTAACCACCACCGTACAGCTTTTGAGGGATGCTGCACTGCTGCCATATAACCCGCGCCATTAAGCTACCCCCAAAAAACTTCCTCCACCGTCATCCATCAGGGGTCTTGGCGGTTGTCTACCGAAGAAATAACAAACATATACAACAGATTCGTTGTTTTTATGGTTGTCGTTGTTGTTGTTGTTGTTTTTATAAGAAAGCATATACATTTACACATACAGACATACAGCTACAAACACACACCATGTAGAAAGAGCCATATAAATAAATAAATAAAGCTATTAAAAAAAATATGTAGAAAGGCATCAATTAGCAGAAGAAAAAAAAAAAAAGAAAATCCGATGGACGCCACGTGAAAATAATTTTTTTGAATCAATGTGTTATATTGTAAGGAAAAAAAGAAAAACGAAAAAGAAAACAACGGCAACGACAACAACTCCTCCTTTTCAAACAGAATTTTCTCTCTGTAACACTGAGCAGAAGAACTAAACAGAAGACAAAAAAATTGGAAGGAAAAAAAAAAAGAAAGGGAAGGAAAATCTAGTTGATACATAAAACTGTGTACATTTACAGCCGACAGGCAACAGAAGGAAAAAATTTTCGGCGTCCTGGAGCTCTGCCAACCAACCGATTCAAAGTACCCCCTTCAAAGCGATTTTTCCCGCCAAAAAAAAACCCGTATGTATAGACATAATTTCGACAACCACCAACATTGCCTAATGTCTCTTTTTTGTTCTCTCTAGCAACCTGCACTCGCTAACCATTCTTCAGTATCACTGATCAGCCGTCTTTGTGTCATCTTTCTCAACAATCAACTGCACCTTTTTTTGAACGCGTTTAATTGCTGGCTGTCTAACTGTCTGTTCCTCCGTCTGTTCGAGGACGGTTTCAGCATATGAAATAAACGGTTGGTTTTTGTTTTTGCTCAGTGGTAGACGGGTAAAAAAAAAAAGGGAATACAAGTTGGTCGTTTTTTTTTTTTTTTTGTCAGTTAGTGAAGAACGGAATTAGACATTTTCAAAAGTTTTTGCTGATTCTTGGTCTTCATCAAATTAAACGGGGTTTGCATTCGTTTTTCTTTTTCCTTAAACTTTTATATTCGTTAAGAATGATTTTTTGGGCATCGATGCCAAATTTGGAAGGTTTTTCTGGACAAATTTCCATTATCTGCTCGAATACAGTGTGACGTCAAAAGTGAAATGAAAAATAATGAATGAAGCATCAAAGTTTTATGTTGCTAGAATGAAACATTGATTTCGGTTTGGAAGGAGCAAAAATTTGAACGGGATAGAGATCTGCAACAGACGAGCACAGTAACAGTTGTACTTATGTATTTACACAGTACAGTAATTAGAATTATTCAAACAAAATAACTCGCTTGGCTAACTTTTTTGTCTCAAACGCTTC